TCTGCCCAAATGTCAATGATTGAACTCCACCCAATCATCCAGTTTCACCACTTCTCTGTCTCCTTTTTAATAGGTCATTTTGCATTTTCCATTCAATGGAAAGAAGCAAATGATTGGTAAATGTAGCCTTTGCATTTTTTTGAGGTGTGAGTTATCTCGCTTACATTCCATGCAGCTCCGGAAACACACCAAGTGGAAGACCACTTCGGTTTAACCGAGATGTGGTGCGCCGTAAGCCAGCAGCTCCACCCGCACCCAATAATCCACCTCGGCCTCCACCTCCTGTAACAGCACCCTGCGTTCCAGTCGAGTCATCTCTGGTTCCACCGGTCTCATCAAACGACATGACCGAACTATCAGAATCGAAACAGCAGAAACAATTCTCATATAAAGCGACTTTATCAAAACCAGCCTTTGAATCCTCTCAGGACATTGGGTCCCCACGAACTATTGCCATTGTCAATCCGCAAGTGGCCATGGAACCGGGATTGACATCCCCGGATCCGTCGGCCAAAATCAAGTGAGTTTTCGCTCACATTCTTCCCTTCTTGAGTATCTGACATGTTATTTGGCTGAGTTGAATAAATGGTCGCCGCAATCCTGTGCATTCCCTAGCCTCTTATTCCGTTTTTTTACTGAAAAAATTTGGTTATATTTTAACATACAAGTAGAGTGCCACCACAGTGCCCTCATCGGTTTGTCTATCAGTCGTGTCAACATGCTCTAATGCACAAATACCAGACACTGGCGTGTGTGTAGATTACTGTCGTTGGGATAGCAATAAACTATGGAGTTTCGCTGATTCTTTTTATTACACACCTAAGTGTGATAAACGGCAGACGGGAAAGCCCCCTAGTCACGGGGACCTGCTGTCCTGTGACGGAAACCGGTAACCAGGAACTTGGAGTGGCGAACCACATGAGGACCCACTATGTTAAGACATGGTATTGAACTGGACGACAGCAAAGCTGCCTACAGCCAAAGTTAGGTGGCGGGGCTCGAACGTCGAACCATGATGTCCAAAGGACACCGGTGAAAGAGACTAAACCACTGCACCACAACATACATACAATCCATTCATCACTAGTTTGCTTCTTCTTGAGTTGGCTTGCTGGTTTTCCTCTGATACGTTTCAGGTAAGTGGTATTCAACTTTCATGATACCTAACATAGCTCGAACGTTTTGATTTCGTTCGATCACAGTTATTTGTTTCGTTGGATTATTTTTCGTTCTGTGCATTCGCTAAGTCCAACTTCTCTCTCACTCCCTTTCGTTTACCATATACCGCCATCGTTTGTCGCCCTCTCGTCCTCATCCTATCCATTTGAATTGACCAAAACCGGTGTGTATTTTTTGCTGGGTGAACCGCTTTTGACTATTTTACCCTTGTTTTGACAAATATACACTGGCAACACGTCACGTAGCTTACCTCAACCGCTTCATCCTCGCTTGTCTACTCTCGGATTAACACCGAAACAGACACGAGCATTACGTGTTGTTACCATGCCAGTTATCAGACCACGAACTAGGCGTTTGCTAAAGTTAGTCTATTTGGTCATTGTGCGCGCATTCCCCAAGTGTGTGCTTATGGATGAATGAATAAATGAACCAAAGTATCCAGTTGTTAATAGGATCACCACAAGTCCCAGATTTCATATCATTAATTTTCTTAACCATAGTCTGAATCCCCAGAACCATTTAATCCACTGTGTGCCACCTTGTAGTTTGCAGCACAGACCGTGTGTTTAGCCAATAGAAAAATCACCTGTACTGAATTGCGTTGGTAACTAACCTTTCGTTGTCGTGCTTTTCGCCCGAATTAGCTTCTCGTTTGATGAGATAAACGCTAGAGTACGGCGCAGCATTCTGTCGAAAAGTCTGGACTATTGACTATTGACGCCAGCATTCCATTACTTTTTTTCTAAGTAGAATTTACTTGACGGATACTAAATCAGCCTATCTGTGGACTGGTTGGCATAGACCATTGTTGTTGATTGGTCATCTATTTAATACAGTCACTGCCTGGGGACCCGAGTGTTTTAACGGAATCCAATATCGCATTCAAGCGTTCGGTAAACGTCGGGCTATTGAAAAATTTTCTTAACTTTATCTCAATTCTACAGACCAAACATGATAAGCCTGACTTCGAAAAGCCAATATGCTATACTAAAAACCAAACCGAACACTTCTTCTTTACTGCAGCTGGCTCCTTCGTAGAATAATCCGGCTCCAGACATGATCATGGAGTTCCTTGAGAGTTTGGCACGAAAGACGTCCCCAGCGACACTCGGCATTTTTTTTTATTTTGAGGGCTCACCTCTAGCCTTTGCACAACCAAGTACGAACAGCAAGGCAGCAGGAAGTAATCCATCACCTCGGAAGTGAGGGGGTCAATGACTTTAGGTTTAAAAGGCTAGTCACATCGACCTTTGACACGACACCATCATTGGGCTTATGCGGCTTTTAAACAGGAGCCAAGTGACCAGCCTGAAACCCACCACACCCTGGTTTTGCCGCTGTTTGTTCGCGACTGCTTGTTTGTTGTGGTATGCCACAACTTATTCACAGTTAACCTTCTTCGGTGAAGGTATCCCCCTATCCACAACCTGGGGACGCGCCTGGTAATATTCAGCTCGGCTTAACCCGAGGGTATCCAGGACACTGCTATTTGAGACAGTTCGGCCTCCGTCATAATACATTCCCCGCGAATGACTATCAGATCGGAGATGCAGAGGTAATCTATATAGTATACAATACTCGATAATATCATGCGAAGCACTTGAGCATTTCGTTCAGTGTCAGGCATTTTGTTTGAAGTCAAGGGTGGCCAAGTTAAGACCTGGCACGATGGTATGAAAGCCCTGACCAGGAGTCTGGGTCACATAGGTCCCGTTAGGCTCCCTGGCTGGGGACCTCGGGACGATCGTACCCGATGCTTAGCGACACTGAATGATATGGCTGGGAGTCGTAAACAGTGGCTTTCTTACATCTCAATTTCTTTGCAAACTTAGACCACTGAACTTCCTTTTATGTTCGACTCAACCTTCAACTCTCCTGTCTTCTCCTATTATTCATCCAAATGAGCAGCCAAAAGAGAGCAACCAAAACCGCCGCATGAAGGTGCTTGGTTAATGGTTGTTCAAACTGAAACTGATTAGAAACCCACTAAAGTTCGTGATCTCTCTTATCTAGGCAGTTGTGTCATCAATAATGAAAGCACAGCGGAGAACGTGACAGCATGCATTTCGGAGGCTCACCCGGCCTACTCTTGAATGAAACCACTTTGGTGTCCTAATAACGTTTCATTGAAACTGAAAGAGTGTATATTGCGCCAGAGTGAGATCGGTTCTGCCCAGATACTGAGATACTTGGTAGATGTGTATATCCACTGACTGGAGGTTTTTTCAACAATCGGTATTGAAGTAGTTGGGTAGAATGCAGCAAGCAGGTAAAGAAGCCGTCTTCTGTTTGGAAGCCCTTCCCCGGAAAATTTGCTGTAACGTCAAATTCAAATGAGTGGACTTCTCTGGCTGGATCGCACCTGTCTATCAGTCGTCTACCGTGCCGCGCCTTAATTGCAATATCATCATACAGCAAGATAAAGTGAAGCGAGTTTCACTGATTGCTGCCACACTCAGAGTATACAAGGTTAGTGGTAATATGTAAGGTGGAGAGGAATGGGATCTATTTTGAGGGCAGGAGAAGAAGGTAAACCTCTATGCTAAAAACAAAAAGTATGTAATCTAAATCTGCATACTTACCGTTTCGCTGTCATATCCTTTAACGTCTCCGACCGACCAGTTGAGGAGTCTTTCGGACCCCAACCTGGAAGGCGCGAGACACCTACCCTACCTAATAGCTCCATGCATCTCTTCATGCCTCGTCTCCAAGTGACGCTCAGACCATCTTGATCTACGGACTTCAGTTTTGAAATCACCTTTTCCAATCTACAAAAACTTATTCCCTATTCGTGATCATCACTGCAAACTAGCCGGACAGAAATCGGCAATGGCTCGCCAACAAGCCATCAGTTGTTAAATTGAATAAACCAACCGCAAATCATTCGCTCTAACTTATTGTTTCAGTCGAATGCTCCCATTGTTCAGACTACCAACTGACATCACACGTTCGTACTCACTTTGGACGTTAGGATTTTGTACAGAACACTTAGCATCCTTGGCTAACGTATGGGTATATTTCCATTCCTCCATACAACACAGAACGCTCAAGCTGGTACCTACAAATTCGCTTTAGTTGTTAACAAATCACACCTCGCTTCACCCATGTATATACTACTGAGATCTGAATGCTGTTACATCGAACATCATCCTATGTTCTCCCACTGTCCTGTACCGTTTCAGATCAAACACAGAAGGTACGCGTTTAACCTCTAACTCGTTTGACCCGGTGAAAAGGCCAGATTTGTCAAAAACGTAAAATTTCAAGCCTCTGGTAGACTAAGGACACATTTATCTCACCAACGAATGTCACATCCTGTATGCTTTGGTGCCTTATCCGGTTTTAGGTAATAATTTTGTTTTGCAGCTGGTGTGTAACCACAGGTGCTTACTGTTAGTTTCATTTTTGGGTAGTGTAACCTCTTCCATTGTGATTTCCGTTTTAGCTACTATTGACGAAACATCTGACACCTCCGTGGAACCACGACAACACTGATCTGTCTTTCTCATCATCCCTACTTCCAACGATCTGTCAGCTCCTGCCTTTTTTTCTCAAGCCCACTACGCCGTTTACCTTTTTCTCAGCCTACCACTTATAGTCGATCGCCAAGTGGCAGTTCTATTCCGGGCTTGACGACTGTATCAGTGTTTTGATTACGATCCATAGAAAACTGAGTTTTGTTCTTCCTGGTCTTGCACTCTCCTGCTTCGCCCCCTTCCTACGCTTGAATGTACATACACACGCATATAAAGAATCGGTTGTTTACTGTCCCCATTCACAACGTCAATTCGCAAGTGTGCAATGCTTCCTGATCATAAGATTTTTCTCAGTTGAATCATCGTTTCTGCTCATGCATCAAAAGTTTTACGACCGGTCAGCATCTTGTATGTATCGTGCATAAAAATACTTTGACAAGAATCCGCATGCCTTCTTAGTCTGGAATCAAACCAGTGGCTTTAAGAAGGATACTCTGTTGGCTTAAATTCTACTAAAAAGATATCCAACAGTACCGACTAGCTACACACCTTGATGTCGCTTTCAGCAGTTGCAGATACCAATGTACTAGCTATATTTCCATGAATACATTGCGAAAGTGTCTCAAGACAGCGCAACTGAGATGCCAGTTGATCAAACCTATTCTGCTACTAATCGGCTTCACAGTAGCATCCAAATACGGCACTAGACTGGTACCTAGATTAGATTATGGCGGTTTCGCCTCACTCCTGTGATGTTCAGAAAAAACTATCTCGGGCCAGAATCCTTGGCACGCAGCTGTTCGGTAACACAGGCAAGGTGGCAAATACTCGTTCCGAAGACGAAAGTATTCCTTGGGATACCTATTATCTGATGTACAATTGATGTTCGCTGTCGAAATTGGTGATACAACAGGACAATACTCACCCTACACACTGGTCAGCACCAGCGTATATAGACAAAATGCCCTAGTTCAGAATCGGTGAAATGACTTTGTTGAGAATTGCACTTTTGGTTAAATGCAGCGAAAGGTGCCTCCATAATAGGTGTACTATCTGCAGGCGCTCTAGTGTATGATTACCTTGATGTATTACCATTGCCCACAGGTGGGATGCAAATGGCGAACAATATGTATCCGAGAAATTTTAATTGAAGATGGCTGTACAAACTAAATGTTACAACTGGAGAAAATCCATTTTTCATGTTTGATCTTCATATTCTACTCGGATACGTCTGGCAGGTGGTGCTCGGAATCCTTTGTATCTTCTTGCTGTGGCTAGGCCGCTAGTGATTGTGGAACGCCCCGGGTAAGCTGAAGTGCTAAAGAAGCTCTTATCGTTCGGGTCGAACCTTAGTGGTTCGGTCTGTATGCATAGATTTGGTGGAAGTTGGTCGTCGTTTTCCGTTTTATCCATCAAGCGATACAGGGCGTCAGGAGATGTCACGGGTGTAAGGTAATAGCGAATAAGTGATTCTACATCCACTAACTCGTGAAGGTAGCTGTTTGAAACCGAGTGCTGGAACTCCTCCGAACATGCTGTAAAAATCTAAACATCAGTGAAAGAAAAGCACAACCACAGCTTACTTTGTATAGCTCTTCGTTAGATTTGAAACGATAGGCTGATGGGTTTGCGGATTCGGCACCAAGAAGGCGAACTGCTAGTGAGTTAATTCTCGATTTAACATCATGTGGTGGTGAATACGGTTTAACTTTCAGGACCAAATTCTGTTCACTAGTCAAATGGTTGTCGAAAAACAAAATTGCATTACCTCGCGTTAATTTGGGCCTGCAAACGAGATGTATACGTGGAGTCTTTGTTGGAGTAATTGCGCAGAGCGAACCATATTGGCTGAAATGAAGAAGTTGGGAGTGGACATGACAACAAATTGATAACCGATGAAATCGTTAACCACAGTGAATCCAACCCATAAAGCAGTGCTGTCGTGGCGCTGAGTCACAAAGGGTTGTATTTGGAAATCATCTATCACGCACGANGTTGAGCATTGGTCTTCGAGACGATTTAATGTGTTCATAGGTTGGCTCTAAAACAAGTAGGGTCAGTCAAAAGTACTGCGGAGCCGTTGAATTATTCATTATCACCTAACATTAGAGTGGAGACCGTGACGGATTTGTGATAAAATGAGCCTCGAACGTCCGTAAGCAATAGAAATTAGTTTCCGCTTCTGTGCTTACAGCCATTAACCATGCACTTCCGTAAGTCAGTTTTGTTTGCATGAAGCATTGAAGGAAGGCGGCAAAGTTGAAAGCAGAGTCATGGAGAATTTCAATGGATTGATGTTCAAAGAAATTGAGATGCATGAGCGACACGCGCCGTGGCAACCTATTTTTCGACATGCGTAACACATGCCCCCGACCAACCCAACCTATAGTAGACGACCACTTGTTCCAGTAGACAATCGCGATTACATAAAACCCCGCGCCTAACCTCAGCATTGCTCCTGCGGCTTCCCCATTAGATTCGAGCAATGCTGTGTAGACAGCGGTGTTCAAACAGCGACAGTCTATCTCTGTCTTTTTTTCTCAATGACCACGTTTCTGCGCTGTATAACAGAACTGGCCGAACTGCCGCCGCATATACTCGACCCTTCACAGACAACCGTATGTCGCGACTGCGCCACAGATATCCCAAGTTGGCAAATGCCAACCGAGCCGACACTTCATCCGTGATGCGTCCACCAGGTGAGATGTAGCTGCTCTAGTAACTCCCCAGTAAGTGAAGCTGGGAGCTGGACCAAAACTGTCCTGCAGCAACATTTTGCACTTTGAAGGTGCAAATTGAATACCAAGCATAGCTACACTAGCACTCAAACTGTCCAGAAAAGCTTCCAACTTACCTTGATTTTCACCTAGCAGTACAATGTCGCCTGAATATTCCAGACCAGTCTACTACCTCGGAAAAAACCGACGCCGCTATTCTCGCACGAGGAAACGGCAGTTTCCAAAATCAAATCTATAACGAAGTCAAATAGAAACAGAGACAGAAGGCGACCGTGACGAACGCCACTCTCAGTAGTGAACTCAGGCGAAAAAGTGCCATAAGCTCGGGCTCGGTTCCGGCTATTACTATAAAGAGGTCGCAAAATTGAAATGGGTTTCTCGGGTACACTCTTCAAAGAGAGACAGCACCAGAGTATACAGTGATTGACTGAGCAGAAAGGATCGAGGACGATAGAAACAGTGGGTCTACAAAAGGAGTGCTTATGTCCAAATATATATATGTGTGTGTGTGTGTTTAACAAGTAACCAATTGCATAAATTGCCAAACGTGCCACAACGTATGAAGAGAAAATCTATAGATATTAATAGGTTGTGTGGGCATGTTACTTCCCGGTTACCCTGACCGAGGATAAACTCAGGGTTCCCACCTGAAGCATTTGGCTAGAAAACCCTACTTGCAGAACAGCAGGACGGAGCTCAGAGTGCACAATCCATTGGAGACGGATGACCAGTTCATCGGATAATACGCCCTTTGTACCGAGTAAAACGTTCAGCGTGCCTATTAACCTTTGGTGACCACTACCAACACCAGGTGTTGGTGTTTGCGGTTCGTACGCGTCTTCCTGATTGGTTCGGAATCAGGGATTTTAGCCAACTCCCCTAGGTGAAATTTCAGTGGTTCACCACCCCTGTTACAGTCCCGGATATTATCTTTTCGTCTTCTCACTTTGGTGGGAAGACATCGCCGAGGGAAGGCAGTGAGTGGGGCTTCCTCAGCAGAGGAGCATTTCGCGAGGTATAAAGAAGGAGCAAACAGTCACAACCCGATCAAACCAAGGCTTTCGGTGCGTTTTACTTCTGTGATTGGCTTGCTCCGGTAATGGCTCGATGAAGTATCACAAATTATTTTTTGGACGCTCATGAATGCATGTGGACACTACTTTATTTGGACAAGCATCCTCATCAAATTAGCGGAGACCTTATGTGGGTCACAACGGCAAGAGTTGATTTTAAGTTTCACTATAAAAAACTTCGAATGCATTACTGACCGTGCATGTACTCAAGAAGGAATCAGGCTATGACCACACGACAAATGTAGTTCCGATGGTCATTGAACTGACTGTCCATGCGATATCCCTTATTTTGAGAGCAGAAAATATTCGTGAATAGCGAATTCGATTGTGCTTGCAACGTTCAAACCGTTCAGCTGCCTTAAGGGCTCAAACTGTATCACTCGAATCGTCAACCAATAAGAACAGCTTCTGCCGAAAATTGAAAAGGATGAGGAATTCGCACAATCACGAAGCCATATTTGGTTAGCTTCCTCTAGTTGTGAGGGGCTTTTGCAACCCTGATTTTTCACCTTTCCCTCAAAATTTCTCAACTAATTACTATTGAATGAAAACTGTTATGAATAATAGGCGGTGGCTAACGACCAATATGAAAGCGAAAGTCACATGCCGATCTCCTTGTGTTAGAAAGAACACCAATGAGAGACGGGATAGCGGAATTTTTATGATCATCTATGTGCGGTGGGAAGAGTTGGAGTTCACGATGCGTGAAACACTGGGGAAAAGATTATAGATCGTTGTATAATATGATTCGAAAGAGACGATTTATTGAATACCACACAGGAAGTACCTCGGTCTCAACTGAAAACGAACTGTTTGGCGAACGGTTGAATCCAGAACTAATAGGCGGCGGGTACATAACTTGTCATAACAGGTCATGCGCATACTTGAAAAAATTATTGAAGTGGAAAATATATAACGAGGGGGCGTAGTTCGATAAAATACTCAAACCTTTCTGCTAAGCGTTAACAAGGAACTCCTTCTGTAATCCTGTTCTGTCTTAGCCCAATAATATAAAAGCCAAGAGAAGAAAAGATATAAATACTCAAAGCGTTTAAGTTTACCGAGACATTGAGTCAACCGTTAAGAAGTACTCAACAACGTATCTTACGGAGTCATCAGGAAAGTGGTCATAACTAGAGGCTGCACCTTCATGTGGTGACTCAACGACCTGCACAGGACGGCTTTTGTCAAACCGAATATTTAATTATGACTGGAAGAACGAAGAAATGAGGCAAGCAAAAGTCCAGTCTCTTAACCCTGCATGTTGCGGGTCCTACTCCAGATGACGTCTCGGTAGGCGAGAATGATGAGAGATTAACTGATCCAAGTAGGTGGATCACCAGTTCACCTTACTAGGTACCTTGCAATCAGCTTCTTACCAGAACTGAAGGCTTTGGCTGAGAATCTTAATCGTTCTCCTGCTTAGTAGTTGAACTCTCGAGTAGTTCATTTCAGCTTAAACAACCATTAAGTATGCACTTCCATGCGTCGCTTTTGGTTGCTGTCTTTTGGCTGCCCAGTATCAGTCTATAAAACTCCATTGAATTCTATACCGCATAAGTTGTCGGGCAGGATGTTCAGAACCGCATCTCCCTTGTATAGTGCGGAGTGGGTATTATTCGATGACTACTGCTCAGACCTTAACCGTTGCCTAATTATTCGTCTCTCCTGTCCTCTCCCTTTTCCCCTAATTTAATACGAACTCAGACAGCTGTCCAACTGTGTAATGTTTTTACTATAAAGATTTGCTTCCTCTCCTCCCTGAAAATAGGCTCCATCCCCGACCAACTTACGTATTATCCATGACCTTGTATTGTGATCAGTAAAGTTCGCTTTACCGCATTCCGCTGTATGATGATAACTCAGAAAATCTGGTTGTCCCTCGCGCAATCTCGTCCTCAACTAGCATTGCAGGTGGTGCACCATCGAAGGAACTGCCGGTTCTCGAGCCTCATCAACATCTGGACCTGAAGGGATCCTAGTGTGAGGATGTTTACGTGGATTAGTCCACAGACTTGTCAATTGCATACATATACTCCTTGGAAATAGTCCGAACACACCACCGAATCGACCATAAACAAACATAAGGGTAGTTTCCCCCGAAAGGTACTTACTTTATCGAGATTTTGAGTAAAGTACAGCCATCGTGAAACGCGCATCATGAATTCTGGCACAGATAACCTCGGTCGTTGTTACGATTCCGATTTTTCGTTTTGAGTTACTTCACAGTAGGCTCATAAATACGTAGTCTATAACTCAATAAATGTCCTGAAATATCCAAAAATGGACAGTGAACGGCACACTTAGTATACAAGAATGACTGGTAACAACGTCTTTATACTACTGAAACCAGAAGGTAAGATACCAGTATAGGCCCATCATTGAGAGTTCGATCACGCATTCGTTCCTCCACATCTATCATTATCATCAATGCACAGCGAAACACATTGAAGCGAACTTCATTGATCGCTGCCAAACTCATATTGAGTACAAGTTAAGTGAGAATGTGTAAGGAGGATAAGGATTGGACTTACTTTTAGGGACGGGAAAATAAAACGAACCTCTATGGTCAACACACAGAGTACACAGTCCAACTGTGCATAAATACTATTTCAAGCATTCTGGTCTGATAAGAAGTGACAGCAAAAGCGTCTATGCTGTCGGTTCGTAGCCATGACCTTCAGTGTCTCCAACCATACTGTTTCGGAGTCTTTTGAATTCCACCCCGGAAGATGAGAGACACTTACTCTGACTAATGGCTCTGTACATAGCTTCAAGCCTCGTCTCTACCTCATCTGCTGGCCTCTACGTGGCTTTCTGCAGCCTGCAACAGCCATTGCGAATAAGGTGCGCTGCGCTAGGCGACCGTCGAAAATACCTAAACCGTGTTCTAACCAATGGAGCCTATTGAGATGGATTCGATCCGATAAAGAGTTCTTGGTCGATGCATCACCAAACACCCAGATACTTACGTTCAAGTTACTAACCCGTTCACTCCATCCCACTTGGGCCAGACTACGTAAGCATCGATTGTCGAAAACCACTGGGCGACGGACGTCTTCCACCCGCAAACTCAAGGCCTCACAACCGTAAAGCAGAACTGGTCGTACAGTGGCACAGCATGCGCGGATGTTCAACTTCAATGAAGGATCACCACAGGTGTTTCAGTCATGCATACACTGCTCGAGCCTTCGAAATGCGGGCGGTTATCTCCTTTGATGCGCTACCGTCGTTTGCCACGCAGCTACCTATGTACGAGCAGCAGTCAACTACAGCTAATTCC